TATTCATCCCATATTACAAAGGAGGAAAGACAGGGTTTAAATCCATGAGCTTAAGACCTGCGTTTTATACTTTAAAGTATTTAGTTTTGTTGCTTTGTGAGGGTAGCTGGTATCTTAACCAGGCTCCTGATAAGTACTAAGTGATTATAACTTGAATCAGTAAAGGAGAAACTGGCCTGACTTTTATGAAGGGTCCTGGTCTGGAAGTCTTAAGCCACGGTCTTTCCAACACACCGGTATATTGCTCCCCAAAATAACGCAGATCTGGAGAAATGTACACTCATGGTCAGAAAACTTGCTTAAAGCATATGCCATTCTGCTGCAAAGTCAGCAGTGACACTTCAAACATTTCCTAACAAATAATACTGAGCCTCTACCCTGTGCAATGTTGGAGGAACACAGAAGTCAGGTAAGATAAGGAGAATCGGGGAGTGACTAGGGTCAGGAGGTATGGAGGGAGATGAGGCCAGAAGTCAGGCATTAAATTAGAATCCTGGTGTCCTTCCTAGAAGTCGGTGTTGAGTCCTTCCAGGTCTAAGGGTTAAAAAGCAAACTGAGTAGAGAGGCCTTATTTGTATTCCTTAAAGACAGCACATTTTGATAGGCAATAATTGAATGTTCCATAGGCTATCTTCATCATTCTCTTAAGATGGGAATGACATCTGCCTTAACTCATTGGGACATTATGAGGACAAATTAAGTGGGGAAAAATGACATTTAAAATATTAGGCAGTGTAAATAGGTAAACAATACCTGATATCTGTCAAAATGTGATACATCTTCCCCTTCATGAGTATATTTCTCCTTAAACCCTCTGGCCACCTTGGAAGTGATTAGGATTAGAGAGAAGACCACAGTATTTTCCCTTGACCACTTTGGGGAAAACTGAATAAAGATGTTAACATGAGCCTAGATATTCTACTTTCTCCTACTGATTCACTGTAAGACCCTAACAGATCAGTTAACCTCTTTCTTTCTCTCTCTCTCTCTCTCTCTCTCTCTCTCTCTCTCTCTCTCATAACTTTCAAGCAGAATGTGGTTTACAAAAATATGTGTGACAAACTTCAAAAATAAAAGAAATCATAAAGTACTTTAAAAACAAATAATAGATGACCAAAGCTTAAAGGAAACGTGCTGCAGCATTTCTAAGAGGAAGATGAATCTCTGAACAAAATTTTAGAACACATTTACAGGTTGTCCCCCAAAAATGTATACACCCTTTGAATAATTATTAATTCCAATGGGTTTCAATTGAGCTATCTGCTGTTAAGTGTGTATACATTTTTTGGGACACCCTCTATATCATCATGCTGAGTGAGGCTCCATATTAGTACAGCCATACCTCATTTTATTGCACTTTGCTTTACTGTACTTCACAGACATTGCATTTTTACAAATTGAAGATTTGTGGCAATCCAGTGTCAAACATGTCTATCAGTGCCATTTTGCAACAGCATTTGCTCACTATGTGTGACATCTTGGTAATTCCTGCAATATTTCAAACTTTTTCATTATTATATTTTTATGGTGTTCTGTGATGTATGATGTTACTATTGTAATGTCTGGAGCTGTCACGAACTACACCCATATAAGATGACGAACTTAGCCCTAACCGGTTTGACTTAGTGGATAGAGCATCGGCCTGGGGACTCAAGGGTCCCAGGTTCGATTCCTGTCAAGGGCATGTACCTTGGTTGCGGGCACATCCCCAGTGGGGAGTGTGCAGGAGGCAGCTGATTGATGTTTCTCTCTCATCGATGTTTCTAACTCTCTATCCCTCTCCCTTCCTCTCTGTAAAAAATCAATAATATATATATATATATATATTTTAAAAAAGATGACAAACTTAATCAATAAATGTGCTCCAACTGCTCCACCAACTGGCCATTCCAGTATCTGTCCCCTTGGGCTTCCCTATTCCCTCAAACATAACAATATTTACATTAGGCTAATTAATCATCATACGATGGCCTCTAAGTGTTCAAGTGAAAGGAGGAGGTGCATGTTTCTCACTTTACATCAAAAGCTAGAAATGATTAAGTTTAGTGAGGAAGGCAGGCGAAAGCTGAGACAAGCCAAAAGCAAGGCCCCTTGTGCCAAGTTAACCAAGTTGTGAATGCAAAGGAAAAGTCCTTGAAGGAAATTAAAAGTGTTACTCCAGTGAACACATGAATGATAAGAAAGCAAAACAGCCTTATTGCTGATATGGAGAAAGTTTCAGTGCTCTAGATAAATCAAGCCAGCCCCAACATTTCCTTATGCCAAAGCCCAATCCATGGCCAGGCCCCAACTCTCTTCAAATCTCTGAAAGCTGAGAAGGGTGATGAAGCCACAGAAGAAAAGCTTAAAGCTAGCAGAGGTTGGTTCATGGGGTTTATGTCTCCATAACATAAAAATGCAAGGGGAGGCAGCAAGTGCTGATGTAGAAGCTGCAGCACATTACCCAGAAGATCTAGATAATAGATGAAGGTGGCTATGTTAAACAACAGATTTCAATGCAGACAAAATAGCCTTCTGGTGGAAAAATATGCCATCTAGGACGTTTATAGCTAGAGAGGACGCAATTCCTGGCTTCAAAGGACAGACTGACTCTCTTGTTAGGGGTTAATGCAGCTGGTGACTAAGTTGAAGCCAGTGCTCATGTACCACTCCAACAATCCTAGGGCTATTAAGAATCATGCTTCATCTACTCTGCCTGTGCTCTATAAATGGAACAAAGCCGGGATGAACAGCACATCTGTTTACAACATGATTTACTGACTATTTTAAGCCTATTGTTGAGACTGTTCAGATAAAAATAAAGGTTCCTTTCAACGTCTCATCGTCTCATTGACAGTGCACCTGGTTACTCACCCAAGAGCGCTGATGGAGATGTATAAGATTAAAGTTGTTTTCATGCCTGCTAGAACAACATCCATTCGGCAGCCCATGGATCAAGGAGTAATTTCGACGTTCAAGTCCTACTATTTAAGAAATATATTTTGTAAGGCTGCGGCTGCCATAGTGATGCCTCTGGTGGATCTGGGCAGAGTAAATAAAACACCTTCTGGAAAGGATTCACCATTCTAGATGCCATTAAGAAGATTTGTGATTCTTGGGAAGAGGTCAAAATATCATTAACAGGAGTTTGGAGGAAGTGGAATCCAACCCGCATGGATGACTTTGAGGGGTTCAAGACTTCAGTGGAGGCAGTAACTACAGATGTGGTGGAAGTAGAATTAGCAGTGGAGTCTGAATTGCAGTGAATGAATTGCTACAATCCTATATAATAAAACCCTAATATGCAAATTGACCGAACGGTGGAATGACCAGTCGTTCTGATGCACACTGACCACCAGGGAGCAGACTTCAATGCAGGACTTGCCCCATGGTGGTCAGTGCACTTCCACAGGGGGAGTGCTGCTCAGCCAGAAGCCAGGCTCATGGCTGGCAAGCGCAGCAGCAGTGGCGGTGGCGGGAGCCTCTCCCACCTCCGCTGCAGGCAAGTGGTAAAGAGCGAGGGGTCCCAGACTGCGAGAGCCCTGGACTGCGAGAGGGATGTCTGCCTGAGGCGTTTAAGACTGCAAGAGGGTGCAGACTGGGCTGAGGGGACTCCCCTCCCCCAGTGCATGAATTTCCTGCACTGGGTCTTTAGTCTCATGATAAAAGAAAGTGGTTTTTGAGATGGAATTACTCCTGGTGAAGATGCCGTGAAGACTATTAAAATGACAGCAAAGAACTTAGAATATTACATAAACTTAGTTGATACAGTGGCAAATTGTTTTAATTTGTTCCAGTTTTGAGATGTAATTGACATATAACATTATATAAGCTTAGGGTGTACAACATAATGATTTGTATATGTGTCTATTACAAAATGGTCACCATAATAAAAATCTAGTTAAAATCCACCACCTCACGTAATCAGAAATTTCCCTCCTTGTGAAGAGAATTTTTGAGATCTACTCTATTAGCAACTTTCAAATACACAACGTATTTGTATGCCATGTTACCACAGTCACCATGCTGTACTAGCCTCTTGCTCCCACGGCCAGGTCTCCTATTGGTGACCTGGATTACTTTCTTGGATAATCATTTTCCCATCCCCACACCCTCAATCACATAGCAAAGCCCCTTTCACCACGTAAAGCAGCATATCCGCAGGTTCTGGGGATTAGGAGGTGGACATCTCTGGGGCCATTATTCTACCACAACTACTATGTGCCTGTGAATTCAAAATGGAAAAATAATGGCGTTCAATGAATTCTACAGAGGTCACTTTGCTCTCAGATTGAACTGCCCACCTTGTTCACCAGTTCCAATGTGTTACCAGCCCCTGCACAGAGAATTCATGGTCGGGGCTGCAACTCGCTGATATAAACAAAGACACAGCCGCCCCATTGTTATGATTACTGTTGCTGTTTTGATTAGGAATTGCAAAAAAAGAAAGCAGCTTTTCCTATTAAATTAGCCACCACAACTGGGCTCACCAGCGTTGCCGTTCACAGCGGGGGCAGCACTGGTTGGATGCGGACGACTCTGCGGGGGACGAGGACTTCCGCCACGTGTTCCTTCCCATTCGAGGGCGGCGGGCG